GGTGCTGTCCACTTTCAGGGTTGGTTCTCCCCACTCATTTGTGGACCCATAAATCAATAGTCCAGAAATAATCCTCACAGACACACCCAGAAGTAATAATTTACAAGTTCTCTAGGCATCCCTCAGAGTAGTCAAATTGACTCCCAAAATCAACTCCCATCGTTGATGTTATCTTTCATCAGAGAGAATTTTACTTCATTTTTTACAGGCATTTGAAGGTGCTAGTGATCTGACCCTGAAACTTGAGTTTTTTTGGTCATTAAGCTGACCCATTGATTATAACCAGTATCATTCCTCTCGGGGTACAACCAAGATACATACCAAAGTAAGAGTTCTTTTAGTGGGATTGACGAGGCATTGTGAATCATATAATCTTACATATTTTTCTTTAGGTCATGCAGTCTTTGTGTAGCATTAACAGTAAACAAGATTCCCTCATTATCTCCTACCCTTCCCTTATCTGTGGATCTCTTTCAAAATTTCTGAAGATCCTCTGGAGATGTGTTCCCTAATGATTCCTAATCTAATGCTTTCTGCCATTCATGAGTTTGGTAGCTTCTACTAACTTTCTTCAGGTTCCATTGCTACCATGGAGGGCACTGATGGTCATGTGCTGGGATCTATCTCCCATGTTAAAATGGTTAATGCTGCCTTGACTGCTGCTATTGATGAAACAATTGACATCTGCTTTAGAAAACTACTGTGGACCCCTGACTTACAAACTCGTGTTCCTGAGGGCTGGGGAACACAAGTTGGTCAACTGCCATAAAAGTCTCTTTCTTGTATAATTTTAGGCCACATTTTCTTCTAGGCAGATCTCAGTGTCCTTAGAGAGACACTGGCCCAGGATTTCTCAATTAACCTCACACAGGAAAGGATGTTGTAATGTTCCTTCCAGAACTCTTTAAAGATTAAATCTGTATCTAAGACCATCTGTAAGCACAAGCAGCCAGCATTCACATCATAACTCAAGACTTCTTTGTAAGTTAAAACTAAAATTCTGGTCATAACCCAAGTTATTCGTATGTCAGTCTAGTTGTAACTCGAGGGTCCATACTATATATCCATTGAATTCCTCAGTCATGATCCTACTTGTCATAGTTCTGCTTATCCAAATTCCAATGGCTCAGATACATAAAATAGCAAAATAAGTGTCAGTGAATTCTGAATGGTGAGGAGGAGGGTGGTTCTAGAAGGATTTCTGGAAGGATTTCCCAAAAGAGGCAAGTAGGATGGACCAAAAGGTGCTCTGTGCTACAGAGATAAGAGAGAAAAAGAAACTCTTTGTTAGTAAGTAATACCAGATGTAAGGGAAGTACATTTCTTACAGCCGTGTATCTGTACCAATTCTTCCTGTGTAACAATTCTAAAATTTAGTTACTTAAAACAGCAACTGTTATTATAGGCCATACATCTGTGGAGTGAGTGAACAACACAAGTTATTGAATATATTTGTGTGCCTCTGTGGATGTAGTATAAAAATTTCAAATTTAAATGATGTTTAATTTAGTTTTTATTGTTATTACTTTTTTTTTTTTTTTGTACTGGGGAATTGAACTCGGGACCTTGCACTTGAGAGGCAGACAGCAGCACCACTGAGCTAAATCCCTGGCCCCTATTTTTATTACTTTTGCTTTTAGTGTCATACTTAGGAAACCGTAGGCAAATTGAAGATCATGAAAATTTGCCCGTAGTGTTTTCTGTGAAGAGTTTTTGTTTTTTGGTACCAAGAATCAAACTCAGGACCTTGTGCTTGTGAGGCAGGTGGCAGCACCACTGAACTACATCCCCGCCCATTCTTTGAAGAGTTTTTATAGTTTAACTCTTTAATTTACGTATTTGATCCATTTGAGTAAATTTTCCACATGATGTAATCTGAGAATCCAACTTCCTTGTATCCAAAGTGAATAGACAGCATTTGTAAAAGGATTTTTTTTTTCATTCTATTGTATCAATCTCTGCCTTTCAATTAGAGAGTTTAATTCCTTTATATTTAAAGGAAGTCCCTATGGGGAAAGACTTATTTCTCCCAGCTAGGTATTTATTTTCTGTGTGTTGTATACTTTTTGTTTCTCAATTCCATTATCATTATCTTTTTTTTTTTTAGTTGATTTCTAGTATACTGCAGGTTGAATATCTTTTATCCCAAAATGCTTGGCATAAGAAATGTTGGAGTTTTTCAAGTGTTGGAATATTTACACAAACTTTACTGATTGAGTATCCCTAATCTGAAAATCTGAAATCTGAAATGTTCCAGACTTTTTGAAGTTCGTGTCAGTGGGCAGTTTCAGATTTCAGATTGTCACATTAGAGATATTAAATTGTTTTGATTCCTTTCATCTTTTCTTTTATATATATTTTGTAGTTCTTTTTTAGTGTTTATGTTGAGACTTCAACTACATCTTACTCCATTCTTTTTATATTATTATCACAGATTTTATCTTTATATATTACGTGCCCATTAACATAATTATAATATAGGAAAAAAAGGGGGTTGCAAACCAGAAGTGTAATACTGGCTGTTATATTTATTTACTTAATTACATTATATTATATAGTTTATAAATATGTTTTATAATCTGTTAGATGGTGTTCCTTGAAGATAGGAACAGTTTCTTAAGGATTTTTGTGTATCTACAATTAAAATACTGCCCTGGAGCATAATGTTCAATAAATATTGTTTTAATTAATATTGGATGTGGGGTTAATATAAGCTTACTCAACTAAGGTTGCATTTGGTTTTGAAAAACAATTCTCAAAAAAATTCTCCATTCTTAGAGACTTTAATTAAGGCATAATAATAATAATAATAATAATGATCACCAAATGGTAATGAACAGATGCTAGTAAACATTAATATGGCTCATAAGGAAGCAATACAGTGTGTTATTATGGTTATAAGACATTAAAGGGGTTTTAGAAGGGAACACTCCATCCCTAAAACCTCTGATGCTTTATGTAATATGTAGTAGACCGTAATAAATTAAGGAATATCTTATATTGATTGTGTTGGCTGTCACTCTTTGTATTAGTTTTCTATTGCTGTCTAGCACATTACCACATAATAGCTTAAAACAACACCCATTTGTTATCTCCATGAGTCAGGAGTCTAGACTTGCTCAGCTGAGTTCTGTACTCAGAGTTCTAGAAGACTGCATTCTCATCTGGGGCTTAGGATCCTCTTTCCTGCACCTCTTAAATTCCTTGTAGTTGTAGGGCCAAAGTTCTTTATAATGCATCCCAAGGCTGCACTTGGCTCTTAGAGGCTGCTTACATTTTGTTGCCATGTAGTCATTTCACAGGCCCTCTCAACAGGGTAGTTTACTTCTTTAGGGCTAACACAATGCTTTGTAGCTCCATCAAGTTAAAACAGGCTCTTAGGCATATTCATGAGAGTAACTTCACTCTTTGCCATGTAACATGACCTGATAAAGGAAATGACTGTTCTGTAACCTTTGCCATATTCTATTGGCTAGAAGCAATTGCAAATTCTGCCCTTATTCAAGGAAAAGAATAGGAAGATGTCACTCTCTGGGTATAATGTTAGAGAGTGTCTGCCATATTTATCTCTGTAAAAAGAGGTGATGAGTTCAGTGATTTTCATAAACGCTTCCTTCAACACTATGCTTCAGATTACTGTACTTTAAACTAGAACTATATTGTTTTCTTTTACATTAATACTAAATTTGTCATGCAAAAATAACTGAATTTTAAGTGAAAATTTAAAATATTTTATCCTATAGAAATGAAACAACCTATTTCTGCATTATTTTCCCTATTTCACTTGAGTTCACATTTGAAAAGTTCAAATTAGTGTTTAAGTTAGAAAAGTGATTTGAGTGGGGAAATTATGAAATTAATTTTTTCTTAAATTTTAGAAAGATTATGGAAGTAAAAGTTAAAATAGTTTAAAATACCAATTTAAGACTTTGCAGTCTCAATAGCAGAGTTTAGGAAAATGAATTTTAGAGCCAAAAATACGACTTCTTTGGCTGTGACCAGGATTTCCTCTTCCTACCTTAGGGACTAGAAAGTAGAGGTAGGAAAATTTCATTTTGGAGCCAAGTGTGACTTGTTTAGTTCAAGTCATAATTTATTGTGCATACCTCGGGGACCTGAAAATAAAGAAACCCACTATGAAATGTTGATAAAGAGCTTCTCTGAAGGGCAAGCATTAAACTAACTTTCCCAGTGAGGATTTTTTTCACTTCCCCCTTTCCCAGATGCTTCTGATCATTCTGTATAAGAACATACTACTTAGTCATATGATAGTTTAAAATAAAAATTTCTGTGCACCAAACTGAAGTATTTGAGGGGCATGAGAATGAACCAAAGCTTTTTTATGACTAGATGTCAGTGAAAAAGTATAACTAAAAGGAAGGTTGTTTTCTTTTAATGCAATTAAGTCATAGTATAACAAGACAGCCTTTCTAGTGGGCATCTAAAGCAAATCTTTTGTCCAGTTACAACTACAAAAGCCTCCAACATTATAATTCGCTTATCTGCCTCTCAACATGGAAATAGTTTGTGAGGCACAATAAAATATGGTGTTTATATTTTAAAATTGTGGGGATTTTTTTCTTTATGCTTTAGGATGGTTTACTAGCAAATAGAAATATTCTTCCATTGTGATTATCATACCTTTACTCCTATGAGGAAAAATTCATAAACAATGGCATTTTTGTTTTTTATTTTTTGGGTAAAATTTTTTAAAATGAAAGGACATGTAGCTTGTCTAAGAAAGTTTATAAAGTGAATAAACAAAAGGTGGTTTGCAGTGATGCAAACAGATATGCAAAATGGATCAGCAAAGTTTCTCACTTATGTAAACTATACATAGAAGATTTGGGGATAGAAAAAGAAAGATCTTAGCACTCTCCTATAAATTCCATAAATAGGGCCAGGGATTTAGCTCAGCAGTTTGGTGGCCTGCCTTGCAAGCGCAAGGACCTGAGTTCAATCCCCGGTACCAAATAAATAAATAAATAAATAAATTCCATAAATATGTGGAGCATTTCACAAATATGTATTTCATCCTTGCTTAGGGACCATGTTAATCTTCTCTTTATCATTCCAGTTTTAATATATATGCTGTTGAAGAGAGAACAACAATTTTAATACTTTAAAAATGTTGAACTGGTATGTTAAGACTTTTTGAGTTGATTTCATAAAAACTGATGGTAGTATTCACTATCAGAAGTGCTCTTATAATAAAAATAATTTATTAAAATAATAAACTACTTATTTAGTGCATATGTGTGCACGTGCGCGCGATTGACACAGGGTCTCACTATGTAGTTCAGGCTGGCCTTGAATTCTATTTGTAGCCCAGACTTGCCTCAAACTTGTGTGATCCTCCTGCCTCAGCCTCTGGGGTGCTGGGATTACAGGTAGATCCACCACACCTGCCTTAATATCATAAACTTGTATAATTTTTCTTGGTAGTAAAGTGTGTGTGTGTGTGCATGTGTGTGTGTGTGTCACTTTTGATTGAACCCAGGGCATCTCACATGCTAGGCAAGCACTCTACTAGCAGCACCCAGAATAGATTTTATTTGGCAACTTTAAAAAAATTAACTTAGTGATTTGAATAACTTAGTATTAGCATATTATAACTATTGTAAATTCCTTTTTTTTATTTAGGGAAATTCTTTTAGTTCTGAATGTACTAGACTGAATATATTATTTTAATCATTTTTGAAAAATTGCATTCATGGTTGAAAACTAGACACCTGTTTTAGTTTTGTTACATTAGTCACTGTCTTTATAACAAACACATTTACTTAAATAGATTTCTACACATTATGGGCATTTTATAAAACAATAAAAGAGTGCTTCTCCAAAGAATGATAGTATCAATAATAATAATAATACATTAATTAAACCATGTGAAATCAGTGCTTTCAAGTATCAAATATTATCAGATGATGGCAGTATTAGAAAATTTAAATCCAATATATCCTGTTTTAAAGAGAATGCTGTTGTCCTTTCATGATTATCATGGCTTTGATGGCAGTGGCAATATTTACAAGTAGCTAGATGAAAGCAAGATTGCAAGACTATAGAATATGAAAATGAACCCTTTGCACAGGTTCTTTTTTTTTTGGACCAGGGATTGAACTCGGGACCTTGTGCTTGTGAGGCAGGCACAAAATCACTGAGCTAAATATCCGGCCCTATTCTTTTTTAATTGATTTATCTACTTTGGAATTACATTTTTGTCATATTATGTTAATAATCTTGAATGTTTCATCATTTGTGTGCATGTGTGTGTGTTTATTGGTACATTTTAGATTACATAATAAATTCATCATAGAGAATGTGTACCTGTACATGATATATCTTGCTTCTTTTTTTCCATTACTCTCCTCCTTTTAACCCCTGTACCCATCCTTATTTACAAAATATTTACCATTTTTTCCTTCTGTCTTCTTTCTTGTCTCCTTCTTTCCTTTCCCCTTCCACTTCCCCTATTATCCCTATCATTTGAACATTTTCTTCCCGTTTCTTCTCAATATCTACTATACATTTTGGTCCTTATTTACACTTTTGGTTTCTCACACCCGAGAGAATGTGGTATTTATCTTTCTTTCTTTCTGGTAGAGTAGTATTCCATTGTATAAAAAAAACATATCTTTATTCATAATCGATTGATGGGTGTTTGGGCTGTTTCCAAGATTTATCTATTACAAACTGTGCTGCTATAAACATGGGTGCACATACATCACTGTGGTATAATACTTTTAATTATTTCAGGAATGTACCAATAAGGGGAATAACTAGGTCAGATGGAACTGCTAGTTTTAGTTTTTGAGGAATCTCATACTGATTTTCATAGTGGTTGTACCAGTCTGTACTCCCACCAACAGTAGAGAAGGGCTCTTTATTTCCCCACATCCCTGCCAGCAATCTTGTCTTCTGTATCTGATATTCTGTTCTCACATTGGCTCATTCTGCTGTGTGTACTTTCAGTGGAACTTTTAATCTCCTGGATATCTGTTTGAATCTGTTTCATGGATTCCATTTCTTTCCTACGCTTGGTATTCATGGTTTCCATTATTTTCCTAAGCTCCTTTATTTTTATTCTCATCTGTGTCTGCTGTAGAGTCACTAACCATGGCTTTCATTATGGTCACCATCTCAGATTTTTTCCTAGAGCCTCATTCATCTGCTTTGTTACTTTTGCTGTTACCATTTCAGAGAGTCCAGGTGGTTGGAAGTGTCTTTTCTCACTCTTGGTTTTAATTCCTCGGTTGATACTTATAAATTCCTTCTGACAGGTAGATTTTCTGCTTATATTTAGAACCCTTAGGAAATGACTGCTTCTCAGAGCTATCTTCCAGGTGTAGCCGGCTTTTGTGTTTTGAGTCTGTTGCAATATCCTACCTCTTCAATTTATTGGGGGTGAGAAGTTGCTGCCTATTTGGCCTATTCCCAGGTTCTTTGACACTGGCCTATGGAATTGTCTATGACCCTTAGGTAATCTCAGCCTTGGCATGCCAAGAAGAACAACTGACTAGAATAAATTATGTCACCTTCGCTAAAGTAGTACAATTAACAATAACAATTGTATGAAACACAGCCTAGAAAATGACAAACTGTGGTAACTATTAACTTGCCACCTTTAACCATATGAACTATATTTGTGGTTATATAACAAAGTCCAAAACAAACCAGAAAATTGTATACAGTAGATGTGCTCTCAGCAATTTTACTGTCAGAGGAGAAAAATCGTAAATGGTTTAGCGGGGAAAATACAGAAATAGAAGAAGAGGAAGAGATGAAAACAAGGCTGGGGGACAAAGAAAGATTATACCTGAGCTTCGGGAAACTGGTAAGACAGGAGGGGAAGAGAGAAGGAAAAAATAAAAAAATAAAAACAAGAACAGAAAAACAACAACAAAAACCTAGAAACAATGTTCACACTAATATAAAAACAACAAACAATCAAGAAAAAAAAAAAGCAAAAGCAATAGAAAAGAAGGGAAAATATCCACTTCAAGGACTGTCTCTGCTGTCACTGGTAGACAGAGAAGACAGACTAATCTCAAATCCGTGTTGATTAATACCAGAAGCTTAGCCATAGATTTATGAGAAGGTACTGGATAATTCCAGCAAGCCTACACCTTTAGTTCCAGGGAAGCTCAGGCAGGTTTCTGGCTGTGAGGCTGGAACTCAATTTGTTCGGCCTGCAACACTTTATGTGCCTACTACCAGCTTCCTGTGGACTTTAACTCAGCTCCTTGACCTTCTGCCTAGTTGGACTCAGTTCTGCCTTACCCTGATACTGGGAGCCATTTGATGGAGATAGCCTGAGTTTGCTCTGAGTTCCTTGTTTAGTTGGCCTCTCTCTAAGATGGTTACGAGCCAATTGCCCTCTCCTAGGGGACATCCAAAGCCAAATAACTCTCCAGCCACTACAGTCCACAGTATCCACTGCTCTGCTCCACTAGTGTGTTTCTCTGTAGAGGTCTATGAGGTCACCAGTAGTCACTATGCATCTCCAGGTTTGAGCCACCCCTCCCACACAGTGAGTCAGGGCTCAGGGAGAAAGAGCTGCTTGTCACCTCCTTCTGTGTTGAGGTCTTTCTCTTTACTCTCCTCATAGGCTTTAATTTTTGCTTCAGCTATTCACTGGTCCCACTTCCCTCCTTTTTTTTTCTTAAAGACGGGTCTCACTGTGTAGTTCAGCTGTCTTTGAACTCATTATGTAGCCCAGGCTGGCTTTGAATTCACAGTGATTCTCCTGCCTCTGCCTCCCGAGTGCTGGGATTACAGGCGTGCACCACCACGCCTGGCTCTTCCCTCCTCCTTCTCTTCCTCACAGTGCTGTATTCTGGCATCTGGACACCAAATCTTAGAGAGACTGTTTCTCTGCTGTTCATCACTCTGCCATCTTCCTGGAAGCAGCATTCATTTATTCATTTAACAAACATTTCCTAAGAGCCCTACTTGTACTAAATGTAGTAGGTACAAAATTGAATGAGATGCTTTCGCTACATTAGTGATGTTTATAATTTGGTAAGAGATGAGAACTTGTAACAGGATGATTTAGTGGAACAGAAACTATGTACTTGGATACTTAGGACAAGTAAAGTTGAGTGACATCATTCACCTTCCATCCAAACATCAGTTTACATCAATTTATGTAGACTGACTAGTCAGAAAGATGATATTTGAGTCTAGTGTATATTGAGATTCACATTTGCTAAAATGCAAAGTTCAGAGGCCAGATTACAACAAAACCATTCAGATCATAAAACTATTCAGGATAATGAAACAACCTTTTTTTTCCTTCCTTCCTTCCCTCCCCGCTTTTTTGTACCAGGTTAGTATTAAGTACTGTAATCGATTCTCAGGTCATAGTGATACACTACACAGATTATAGCCCCTTGTCTCATGGAGTTTACAGTTTCACAAGAAATATTGACATTATAAAATAGTAAACCATCACAACTGTTATGATGACTATAAGAAAAAGTCATAGGGACCATGAGAATATTGTAACAGGTCTTTATGTGTAAGGAAAGGCTTTTTGAGGAAGTAATATTTAAGCCGACCTAGAAAAGAAGGCTAGGAGTTGTGTAGGTGAACAGAATGGATAATAGTATTCTCAACAGAGAGACTAGCATATGCTAAGGCCCACATGTGTGAAAGAGGATAGCAGTTTCCAGGAACTGAAAGAAGTGGAGATAGAGTGAATGGAAAGAATGGCATATGAATACAGACGAGGAGAGGTATTTGGGAGCTGAATCACTGAAGGGTTCTGTACGCCATTTTCAGGATTTGGGACTTTATTCTAAACTGTGGGAAACCAGATCCAGGAACAGAGTCAGGCCAGAGAAGAGTGGAGTTCTGGTTATAGTGTAACATCTGATACAGAAACCCACTGGGATCTAGCCCTAGTAATAACATATGGTTACCCAGGGGAAATGACTGTGTATATAAACTTAAAGGGCTGTAATACTAAACTCTTTAGGATTTAGGGGTCTAGCAATTTGCTCTTGGAATTGTTGGAAACACTTAAGCCAAATCAGCAAAATATAGAAGAAAAACCTTGTAACTTCTAAAAGTCTAGAATGAGTTTAGGCTGTTATTTGTATCTTT